CTCGAGTGAAACAACGCCCCCAAGTTCCACCGGATAGGTCTTTTTTTATCTGTGAAGGGGAGTGGAGTGATGGATATCCCCTCCGCTTTGGTGTGGGTTGTGTTTTTTTTTTTTTGAAGCTGCCTTCTCCTCATCGGGGGACAGCCATATATGTTCCTCTCACCTCACGTATTTTGAACTGGCGTTCTGCCATGTCATGGAACATTTACGCGATTTTTTTTTTATATTATTTTTTTGGACAAAAGCTCCAATCTATTCGTGGGGAGCAGCACGTTTACGCGATCCGCACCAAGCTAAGCAAAAAAAGAAGAAGAAAAAAGGCCACACCAACTGCTGGCCGAGTCGTTGTCAAGGCCAAGCATAGCGCACCGCGGCCGGACCCAAGTACTTATCCACAATACGGCTATTCATCCGGCTATACGGATGTACATCGGGCTATATGGCTATTCATGCGCCTGTCCGTCTGGCTATATGGCTATCCATGTGCCTATCCATCCGGCTGTCCAGCCTTGTGGATGGGATCCATAGCGCTCCCTGACCTTATCGTCTTCACTTGACTTGGGATTGAACTCACTACCTGTTTATTAACAGTTAGTGTGTACCATTTATTTTTATTTTTTTTTAACAAAAGGCGACCTTCCCGGTATCATCCGGGCACTCCGGCCCGGTTCATACCGCGGTTGCTATTACATGTGTGTACCATTCTGCCATATGAGCTGTTGGTGGATCCATGCTGACGGATTATTGCCTGGCAGGTCCCACTTAGGCCCTCGCTGCACTACATAACACTCTACATGCATTTGGACGCCTTCTAGACAGGATGCATTCGAAGTGTTGGACTCATCCCAACGCAACTGGTCCAGATAGCTTCCAGATGCATGTTGTGTACTGGAGCGATCGCGCGCCAGCGCCCAGATGGAGCAGCAAGAATCAGGATACATACCGCACTAGACATCCCACAAACTATATTACAAATGACGACATGCTATAGTGAGTCTCAACCTGACGATATACATAAATATGTATATAATATATAATGTATATATCATACACATAAATAAATATATATATCGTCAAACAGAACTGCCCGGTAAACCGTAGGCAGAGAGGGAGAAGAGGACAAAAAACAAGGGGCTGTGACAAACTGTTTCGTCGGAGTTTCACCGACTCATCAGGAGGCTGAACCCTCCACAGTCTGCAAAGTTCCCTAATTGATAACACTGTAAGTGATAATCCCACTTCACTCCGGTTATATCTATATATCTATATATCTATATATATCGTATATATATTTATAGATATATCGTCAAACAGAGCTGCCCGGTAAACCGTAGGCAGAGAGGGAAAGAGGACAAGAAACGAGGGGCTGTGACGAACTATTACATATGTATAGTCTATAAACTCAATACTAATCACTTGTTTTATTTATTTTTATAGTTATTTATTTCAATCTATCTTATTTTTATATTTGATTATGATTCTACAATCAATTCATTCATTTGAATGATTTTATTGTAATTGGGAACAATCTTTTTTATGACATATATATCGTCAAACACAGCTTCCCGGTAAACCGTAGGCAGAGAGGGAGAAGAGGACAACAACGAGGGGCTGTGACAAACTGTTTCGTCGCCGTTTCACCGAATATTTATATATATATATATATATGCTCTGATATTATGTGACAACATATATATATATATATCTGTTTGTGACGATATATATATATATATATCGTGTCAAACACACACACACACACACACACACACACACACACAGACACGCACACACACGCACACACACACACAGAGAGTAAAGTACCTTCACACACACAAACGCACACACACGCGCACTCTGCCTTCAGATTGTCTTTTGACATTCAAGGCGCGTTACTATACTAATGTAAAGCGCCATACGCGTCTTAATGAATCTGTTTCGCATACAGTCTGTTTGATCCTCAAACCCAAATTCGGCGACAGGGAACATCCCCCGGCAATGGGAGAGTCAGCGACGAGGCGATGTTAATAGCGCGCCTGTCGCTCAAGTGTGAGACGCAGGTCGCGTGCAGGTTATCAGATTGCTGAGCAGGTCCTTTCTCCTTTTTGGGGTGGGTGACCAATCCTGTCGCTCAAGTGTGTGAGACGCTGTTCCACGAGATCACCTCTCTTTGCAACACGGAACTGAGTTAGGGCCCTCTTCAAACTGGGACCTTTTGATTGCATGTACGACCACGTACATCTAGAAAACTGAATCTCATCGCATATACGGTCAGTTACATCCAGAAAATTGCTAGCGTGAGTATATGACGCGTTATCTGCCGTCAGAATAGCGCCGATATAGAATGTCGCACACCGTGACCAATCAGCCCGTTCAAATGAACATCGATCAATCAATCAATCAATCGATCAATCAATCAATCAATCAATCAATCAATCAATCAGCCGTCAATCATTCAATACTTAACCACGCAATCAATTCAATCAGTCAATTAATCACCCCTTTGAGCATTTAACTAAAAGCTTGAGTAAAAATGCAGCACCAACTCATTTTTTGCCTGGATAGCACACAGGCACTACTGTCAATATGGGTTCAGCTAATCACGAAAATGCGCGACACTCATTTGTTCCAGGGTAAATGGTCGCACCGATAACCAATCAAAAATTAGCCGACCAATTACTAGATCGTTTAACGAGATCAATCTATGTGCTTTCCAAAGGCGTACCACCAATCAATTGATCGATCAATAAGATCAATCTCTCTCCTTTCCAACGGCCTACGGTCTTCACCCGAATAGAACGCCCGGTCATTATCGCTGCATCTGGACTGAAAGTTGGGTCAAATGCAGCTATAATGACCGGGCGTTCTATTCGGGGGTGAAGACGGTAGTCCAGCTACGAGAATGAAAAACTACTGGTTGGCGAAACAGTCACTCGTGCCGGTTTCTCGCCCGCGTCATTTTCCTCCACGCTTCAAAACTTCCTAATGCTCTATCCATCCATCCATCATCAATCCATCCATCCTACTCATCATATTCATCCTATCCAGCCACCCACCCTCCTCCTCCTCCTCCTCCTCCACCTCCTCCTCCCTTCAACTAATGCTCCATTCAATTCACCCATCCATCCATCCACCCATCCATCCCCCTCCCCATGTTTGCTTTGTCTTTATATATGCTTACCTTGTCACTGTCAAAGATCTCTGTACTGACGATGCACTGTCCCCTCCACCCATCCATCCATCCATCATCCCAACCATCCACCCATCCCCTCGCTTTTGCACCTGCTCTTTGCCGGTTCGATCCTATCCGTACCTATCAACGGACGGACGATCGGGAAGACTGAATTGAAGGAGGGATGCACACAGCGGACAGGTAGGTGTGAAAGACGTAAAAGCACATAGCTTTCCTTTGGTCAAAAAAGGCGCGAAAGCAAGTTCACAATCAACTACGAGCCTGATATGCCATCAACAGAAGGCGAGCGAGCGAACGATCAATCGCAACTTCAAAGAGGCCACGTGTAGAAATCGCAACTTCAAAGAGGCCACGGGTAGAAATCGCAACTTCAAAGAGGCCACGTGTAGAAAAAGCAACTTCAAAGAGGCCACGTGTAGAAAAAGCAACTTCAAGGAAGCCACGTGTAGAAAAAGCAAATCTTTCAGGACGCTGGACTCGGTTTCCAGCAGGTGAAGCTCCCCACCAATAGACCGGAGCAACCACTGCCGGGCTTGCTAGCGAGGGCTGCTCATATCACCCCCGCTAGCAGGAGACGCCTGACGTTATCCCCCCCCCCAAAAAAAAAAAAAAAAGACGCCCATATAAAGATAGAATGGACAAACACGCTTATTACTTATATTATATCGCCAAAGAAATAAGAGAAAAGTCAGATGCTTCGTTCGTACTTGTCTCCCCCCCCCTCCTCCCCGCCTAATCTAACTTAATTTTCTTCTTTGAGAATCTTTGAATTACTAGGTGACAATTGGCCGGGACCTCTACTCCACTCCTACTTGTCCCACATCTTGCCAAGTCCTGTCCTCCCTTTCCAGCAACGAGCCACCTTACATCCCTGACAGACTGCCTCTACTCCACTCCTACTTGTCCCACATCTTGCCAAGTCCCTCCCTCCCTTTCCAGCAACGAACCACCTTATTGGAACATCCCTGATTAGACTGTTCATCTCACCGTTTGCCAATTTTTCGTATTTTAACAACTTTCCCGCTCTCTTCGTTTGCTGGCGTTTGCTTGTCGTTCCCATCCTCTCCTCAGTTCTTCCCTCCTCGGCGTCGTCTCGTCCTCCTCCTCCCTCCTCCTCTTCCCTCCTCCTCGTCCTGCAGCAGATCCATCTCTGGCACCAAGTTGCTCTAGCTTGTTCCCCATCCTCTCCTCAGTTCTGCCCCCTTCCCGTTTCCTCTCCTCCTCGGCGTCGTCTCGTCCTCCTCCCCCCCCCCTCCTCCTCTTCCCCCTCCTCCTCCTGCAGCAGATCCATCTAGCTTGTTCGACAGGCTAGAAATGGTTTTCAATCGCTGCTCTTTCCTCGATTTAGGAATTACGCCAAGCAATTTGGGATGAGCTTTGTTACGGAACCTGCTTTCGCAACTGGAACCACCCTTCCCCACGTTCCCCCCCCTCCCTCCAAAGGGGACAAAAAAAGGGAAATAAGATGAAGAAGGGGGAAAAAAAAACTGGAACAATGAAATGAAAACGAAAGGGAAAAAAACGGGAAAAAAAAATGAAAAAAAAATGAAAAACAGGAATAAGAAAAGGGGAAGGAAAAGGAAAAGAAGAAAACGGCGAGCAAAAGGGGGAAACCAGAGTTAAAAAACTAAACAGAAAAACAGACGAAAATAAAGGGAAAGAGAGGGAGGAGGGGGGGAGAGGACGCGAAAAACAAGGGAGAGCAAAAAAAAGGGGAAAACAAGTTCAAAACGAGGAGTGGGGGGGTGGCGGGGGGGGGGGTGGCGGAAGGAAAAAAAAGCAACTTCGGCGAGAATGCCCGACCACTCACCGTAAGGTCTCTCCCAACATCTTGGCCATCCAGGAGTGAGGAGTCCTGTCGCCATGAGATGCGATTCGTCGGAGGTAGTCTACCCGACCGCTGCGCCTCCAGGTAGAGCAGCCCCTTGCTGAGTGCGTCCCCATACTGAGCAAGGGGTACCTTACCGCTAACGAAGGGAGCCCGGGACCCCGAACTCGGTGGCGACGGCGCAGGGCGAACCACGTTATGATCTTCATTTTTGCTCTTATCCTTCTTGTCCATGGCTTTGACCAAAAAGACGGCGCCAGTGACGATACCCGCAAGAGCAACGACAAGAATCAGGCCAGCGATAGTGAAACACTTGGCCTTCCGGTTGCCATTCTGCTCACCGGAATCCATATCCAGATCTTGAGCCATGGCGGTGGAGGAGGAGGAGGAGGAGGAGGGGGGAATGCGGATCTTGCGAGAACCAACAGGCGGGCCGGATGCTCCGTCGGGCGCTGTCCGCTTTTGGTACGCGAGCGGTCCCTGACCCACTCGCTCACCAAAAGCTGCAGACAGCACTTTGCCACTGCATCCTGGATGGGACGAAATGGGATCCATAGTCCAGCGCTCCAGCAGCCGCTATCGCTACTGCTACAGTAGGCTGCTAAGGTTTTTCGTCCGGCCAAGGGCAAGCCGGTGGGGGGCGTCCTGTGGGCTCCACTCGGCCCCGCCCGGACACCGCCACCGGAAGAGGACGAATCTCAGGAGACAAAACTCCTACATACCCACCGTTGATCGGCATAATCTACGGCAACAAAAATGTGATTTTGCCGAGAGAACATCACATTTCTCGTCTCCTCCACCCTCTCTCTCTCTCTCACACACACACACACACACACCTGTCTCTTATACACATCTAGATGTGTATAAGAGACAGATCCAGATCTTGAGCCATGGCGGTGGAGGAGGAGGAGGAGGAGGAGGGGGGAATGCGGATCTTGCGAGAACCAACAGGCGGGCCGGATGCTCCGTCGGGCGCTGTCCGCTTTTGGTACGCGAGCGGTCCCCTGTCTCTTATACACATCTAGATGTGYATAMG